TACAGGCTACTTACACACTACAAGGTTCTATGAAAGAAACTACCATGGCTACAGGCTACTTACACACTGCAAGGTTCTATGAAAGAAACTACCATGGCTACAGGCTACTTACACACTGCAAGGTTCTATGAAAGAAACTACCATGGCTACAGGCTACTTACACCGGTACAAAATTTCCTCTGGTGTTAGAACTTTGCCATCTTCGTCAAGCCTAGAATTTGGAATTATGAACAAATATTAGTTAGATGTGGTATAGATGTGATTAAAACAATGTATAGTATTTTAATTCCAAAACATTTGTGATTTTACGAGATAAGGTTACACCTGATCAAGCTCAACTGACAAGCCAATACTAAGCTGTGTTGAGTCCAATCCCCCGTAGGCCTATATCCTAAATTACAAGTTTTTCAACTTTAGACACTTAATCAAGTGTAAGTATTAGTAAGGTTACATGTTTATCTTTTCGTAACTTTCTTTGTAATATGAATCACATATGAACAACAACAAAACTATCTACGTATACCTTCCTCAGCACAATCAATTCACAAAGTTTCTATAATAATACTATTCTCTGTAAAATCTTTGTTCAACTATCATACTGCTGATAATAAGGGTTAAAGTAATATTTTAAACATAGGTTACGTAAAGTCACACTACCTCCCGGAGCTAGTAAAGAATCATGATAAAACCTGTGACTTACTGTTTGCTTACAAATTTTATTTTTTCTAAAAATACTTGAGAGAACTGAACAGAATGTATAAAAGGAGCTTATAGAAAGACAAGAAACAAATATTGAATTTTAACTACTGTACGACACAGGTGTAGATAAGAAAATATATTTACATCAAATGCAACTTTAGAATAAAAAACGTGTGCTAGAACTGGACCACATTTATAAAGGAAGTTCTGTATGTAACACTAATGGATCTAAATAGTCCTGGTCACATTTACAAATGAAATGTTATATCTGACACTAATGAACCTGTTGGCCAACAGGTAAGTAGTCCTGGTGTCATAAAAATTGACTTTTGTCTTTGAATATATGTTTATGTTTTAATAAATATGATTTAATACAAAAAATATTGTTATCGAGTGTTATTATGGTGACCGAAGGTTAAAGTTCAAGAGCTACTACTATGGGTGTGAATATGAGGAACACCATACAAAACAATACTGTAAAATATAGGATAAAACTAGCAGACAAAATAGTGTTATTATGGTGACCGAAGGTTAAAGTTCAAGAGCTACTACTATGGGTGTGAATATGAGGAACACCATACAAAACAATACTGTATAAATTTAGGATAAAACTAGCAGACAAAATAGTGTTATTATGGTGACCGAAGGTTAAAGTTCAAGAGCTACTACTATGGGTGTGAATATGAGGAACACCACACAAAACAATACTGTATAAATTTTGGATAAAACTAGCAGACAAAACAATGTTATCGAGTGTTATGTTATGGTGACCAAAGGTTAAAGTTCAAGAGCTACTACTATGGGTGTGAATATGATGAACACCACACAAAACAATACTGTATAAATTTAGGATAAAACTAGCAGACAAAATCTAGTCATAAAAAAATTAAATTTATCTGTATTCAATAAATTCAGATCAAAAGCAGAAAAAAAATCCATTTTATTAAATATTTATGAGAGAGAAAATTAAATTTATCTGTATTCAATAAATTCAGATCAAAAGCAGAAAAAAAATCCATTTTATTAAATATTTATGAGAGAGAAACAAGTTCTTGCAACTGAACTGATAACTTGAATTTCTCAAGTTATATATTTTTTTTATCTTTTTAAAATAATATTTGAATTACATTTGATTGTGAATACAACAATCAATTAAAAACAAACACCTTCATTATAATAACAAGTTTTAAAAAAAATAATATTTTTCTGTGTCTGAATGCATTCCAATTTTAAGATGCTTGTAAACTCTTAATTATGTAAACTGCAGTAAGGGCTTAATAACAGGTATCTTACCTGAAAGTCTTACAAAGCACCAGCCTTGAGTAAACAGAGTTGAAATCTTTCTCGACCTCTGTATTAGCCACCTGAGTATTAAACAATAATGAAACTTAAATAACTAATACCCAGCCTATTGACTTATTTTTTCCGATAACATTTCAAACCCTGGATATCCAGAGTTTTATTTCATTCAGATATTCCGACATTCTATGGTTAAGTTATTTTGTATAAAATCCCAACTTTATCTGCTGTTTGACGAAAGTTATTGATGACCACCAGCAAAATTTATGTTCATACTAGGAACTGGCTATGAGAATTATTCCTGTAAAAACTACCTAGAGCCAAATCCTATACGTAATGCAGTGGATTGTTCATAGACGACATACACGCAGTAATCTTTATGATTTTGTCTTTTTGAATGAAACATATAAAAAAAATATTTTACTCTTGGCCTTCAAAACTCAGCTTAAACAATCTATTCATGATATACCACTAACAAATTACAATATTTTTTTACAAAAAATAAATAAGTGAGAAAACATACACCATATAGTATAGAAATTCCAGCAAAACAACTACAGTACAGATATCTTTCATCGAGATGACTCTGAGTATTCATAGACTCAAAAATATTATCTTAATGCCAAGCTGTAGAGATATTCTCAGAAAAGGTAATTTGATTCTGAAAAATATATATATACCTGTACAATAAATTTATTGTCCTAAATAATGTTATATAATGAACAACATGTTTTAAATAACTTATTTTAGAAGTAAAATTATGTTCAATAAGAATCATTGTTTAAGATATTAAAAGTTTTCTATTTACATGTAGAAAACAGGATGAAATACTTTAAAATGTGGCAGTAATTATGAACCTAACTTAACATTCTGTAACATTAACATTTATATATTTAGTAATGCTGAAGTAAACTACAACATTCTGTAACATTAACATTTATATATTTAGTAATGCTGAAGTAAACTACAACATTCTGTAACATTAACATTTATAGATTTAGTAATGCTGAAGTGAACTACAACACTTAAAAAATAAAACTAATAAACAGCTACTTATGTTCAAAAACTAACTTCAAGAAAGGAAACGACAAGCACATGGTAAACCTTTTTTTATTTAACTCTGCAAGTTGTGAAAAGGAAGCCACCAACACAAACTTAAAAGCATGCAAACTTCAAATATTTTGAAATGAATGAATCTTTTTATACAATTGTACTGGTCAAAATAACACTTTTGACTAATATCTTTGTACGGTAAGACAGGAAATAATATTTTCTACACGTAAAAGTATTATGTTTACGGCATGTCAGTGCATATGGTCTTACATAGGTATATAGTCCCCAATTTCAAAAACTTTTAAAATTAAACATTTCAGTTATGTCAAACAATCATGTATATTTTTACTATTAAAAAAAATATTTATATATATATACATACACTTGTAGATTAATTTATAGCTTTTGACAGTGAAGAAAAAAAACAATTAATTTAAAACACTAAAATAAAATATTATCCAATGAAAGGGCTTATTTCCAGTCAACCGGAAAAATTATGGGTTTAAAACTGGAGGACAAAAGGTAAGCATCATCCAATAAAATGACTCATATTTGTTAGCCTAAAAATTATTACCTCCTCAATAAAGTTCCATGGATGAATAGGACCACCAAGAAGGTAAGATCTCTTCATTCCATGCTCCAGAACAGACTTGATGGCTGGACACAATCTGTGCAAAAAAGTCAGAACCAAAGTTCTATTAGATCAATATTCTCTTTCTCAGTTTTTTTTTTTAATTAATTAATATTTTATCAGTTAATTTCTTATGTTGCATATTTCTCTACTTTAAAGAAAGTTCATGACCTTCTAGAAAATTGAGACGATGCTTCAGAAAATAATTTTATTAAATAAAACTTAAGAGCCAAGAGATAACATTCATGACAAATGCAAACCAGAAAATACTAAGCATGAACTGCCAAATGGCACCCTTTTACACATGTAATAGCAAAGCTAAAGTATACTTTAAGCTTCATTTTAATTGTTATATAATAAATTTTGGGCAATATTTATGGTCTACCCATGTTATATATATATATATGTGACGAAATTTAGGAAAATGAAATATTTAAAAATACAGTCTGAGATATTGTCTGTTTGTTTTGTTTTTGAATTTCATGCAAAGCTACATGGGGGGGTATCTGTGCTAGCCATCCCTAATTTAGCAGTGGAAGACTAGAGGGAAGGCAACTAGTCATCACCACCCACCGCCAACTCTTGGGCTACTCTTTTACCAACGAATAGTGGGATTGACCGTCACATTATAACGTGAAAGAGTGAGCGTGTTTGGTGGGACAGGGATTTGAACCCGCAGACTGCAAATCGAGCACCCTAACCACCTGGCCATGCCGGGCCTAAAAGATATTGTCAATTTTTCTGCTACAGCACTACAGGGTAAAATCAGATTTTTCAAGTTTGTTAGTTGCTGAATAATAGAGAAATGTTAATTCCATAATTTAAATATCTATTTGATTAACTCTCTCCAAAGTAATGGGGGTTCCGGTCACTCCAAGTGTATACTTATATTTCAAATTTCAAAACTGAATTAAAAAATTAACTATTTCAACAACCTTTTACTCAAAAAAAATGTTTATTTGTTTTGTTGGATGTCACACAAAACTACAAGAAGGCTATCTGTACGTAGACATCCCTAATTCTGAATTAATA